GTGAACCATAATCTACTTTTACAGCAACTTAATTGACTCTGACTACACACTCAAGATACAACACTGTAGACCTTGACAACATCTTAATATGATTACAAATAGTTTTTTAAAAAAACATTATGTCCCTGTGATCTTGGGATAAGTATAATGTAATCAATAGAAAAATTTCTGTTTTATATTTTATATAGACAACGTGTCATTGTACAATTGAGGTGAGCATCGTCCAACCTTAAAAAAAAAAGTTACTTCTTCCATTCTGAACGATGTCGTACAAGTTGACCATTCAAACCTAGGTAGGAAGTAAATTTAGTTTTTTTTTTTAAAAAAAAAATAGACTAGTTAAATATTACTTAAAATTATATGTCTAAACTTGTGAGTAAACACTGGCAGAGCAATATCGCCACCCTAAAACTATATTGCCACCAAAACTCTGCTTTATACATAATAAAAAAATGGCCTAAAAGCCGAACAAAATAAATATTGTAATAAAGATTAATTTTAATTTTGCAATCTTATTGTCATATATCTTTGTATTGACAAAAAAAAAAACACTAGAGGAAATATATTTTTCCTGCACCGTCAATAGTCCAGCTTTGTTTTATACACTATCTTTTAGAAAAAGTCAAAGACGATAGCCAGGGACATTTTTTTGCCAAATATATATATATAAATATATATATATAAATATATATATAAATATATAAATATATAAATATATAAATATATAAAATATAAATATATAATATATATATATATATATATATAATATATATATATATATATATATATATATATATATATATATATATATATATATATATATATATATATATATATATGTATATATATATATATATATATATATATATATATATATATATATATATATAAAGCAATTTATGTCTGTTTGTCTGCGATTTTTTCTACATACGGTATAAAAAAATTTAAGTCAAATGCGGTACGACACCGTTCATCCTAGTGCCTTGAAACTTTGGGGAACTGATGAGAATACTACCGATAAGGTTTCTGCAGGTAAAAAATTCAATTAGGCATGGGCCGCCACCGACAGGTTGCGATTTGACGTCCCGGGATATCCCGTGAGCACTATGGCACTTACGTTAGTTTTAAACAGTGCAGTAGACTATGCATAAAATGGGGAATTATAGTCGTTCTATAAATTGAATTAGGTGAGTCCGACGGCGCCCCGACAGGGTGCAATTTGGCGCCTCTGGTTATCTCACGAGCGCTATGGCGCCTACGTTCGTTTTAATCAGTGCGAAAGACTATGCATAAGATGGGGTATTAGAGTCGTTCACTAAACATAATCAGCCGCGCCCCTCTGCGCCCCAGCAGGTAGCGATTTAGTGCTCTGTGCTATTCCTTGAGCGCTATAGTGCCTTCGTTCCTTTTTAAAAGTGCGATAAGATGTATTATTATATTCGATCAGTAAATAAAATCAGGTGCGTCCGCCGGCGTCCTGGGCTATCCTTGGAGGACTATGGCGCCTACGTTAGTATTAAGGAGCACCCTACAATATTGACACTGTGGAACACGACATTCGATGATTAAACCAAGCCAGGGGCCGTAGGCGGCGCCGGTGCGGTAGCATAACTGGGGGCTCCCGAAAGCACTTGACACCTGGGTGGTCGCCAAAGTGTGTTTTACCTCACAATTACCGACAGTGATTAACGTACACTCATACACAACGGCCTGGGACGTGCAGGGCGGTATTGTAGGTAAACGCGAGAGGCGTAGCGACCCTTCCTGGCGCCCGGGGACAAACTTTCGATTTGCAACCCCCCTCAAACTTTCGATTTGCACCCCCTACTTTCGATTTGCACCCCCCCCCCCTCAAACTTTCGATTGCACCCCCCCCCCTCGAACTTTTGATTTACACCCCCTCAAACTTTTAATTTGATTTTCCAACCCATTTTGGCGCCCCCCCCTAAGGTCGGCGCCCGGGGACATATGTCCCCCCCCCCCGCCCCCCTCGGTACGCCTCTGTAAACCCGCTCCCCTAAAATATGATCCAAGAAATACAGCGCAGGCATTGTTTCCATCTAAATAACTCAGTTATACCACCTCCTCCCCGTCTTGACTTAAGCTCCCAGACTAAAAAAAAAACATCGCAAGATATAAGCTTAGGGGTCGTCCATAAATAATATCACACTCGTAGAGGGAAGTGTGTGTGTGAGGGGGGGGGGCGGACCGTAATTTTATAACTATGTGGGATGGGGGGGGGGTGGGGCTCAGGTAATATGGCGCCTCATTTTTGCATGTTTATAAGGTAATGTTAGCAACTCAATTATAGCTGTTTTGATCATTTGTAATAGAAGCTTTAAAATACTCCATGTCGACTGAGCTCTGTCAATAATTTAGAAAAAAAAATTGATGTTTTGAAAAAAATATATTTCTATTTTGAGGGTGAGAGGGGGGGGGGGGTTGTAACATGAGGTGTGACTTCATTTTAATGAGTGTCTGGCTTTTTGTAACGGTGTGTGATGGGGGGAGGTGGGGGGGGGGGGGTAAAAATCGTCAAAAAAGAGTGACTTCAAGGGATCGGCGTGGTTGAGTCGGTAAAGCATCGGGTTGATGAGGCACGGCAGCAACTCTTCAAGAAAAGACAACTCCAAAATAAAACAACTGCTGCCTTGCAGTTTGTTTTTGGTTGGACAAAGGCTATGGAAGCAAATTCAAAAAAAGAAAAGCAGGCTGAAATCGGAGTCAACGCCGCTAAGTTGTTGTTTTTTCTACTTTTCAGTAATTCATAATTTGTGAATTTGACAGTACCAATGCTGCCACTGAAAATATTTGATTAAAAACACTTTCAGTAGCTCGTTAGGGACATGGTGTTCTAAAACAACTATATGCTAGAAGTAAGTTTTCACTTCTTCACGAAAAACTGCTCTCATTGTCGCCCTTAGGCACTGAGGAAAAATCACTACAAACCATCGCATCTTCACAATCACTGACCGGCGACTAAGGCTACATTTACTGCAATTGCAAAACCAAATGCACAACAAATCGCTGCAAGTGTAAAATTGACAAGCTACTATGTAATTCTCATGCCATACAAGTTCAACTTGTTGTAACAAGTGATAATATTGATTGAGACTATAGTAGTACAATAATATAATCGGAATGTTTCTGTCATTTACTTACATTAATAATCAATAAAGACTTAATTTCGTGATAATTACGATATAAAAAAATATTAATCTGCTCATGATCTTCTAATTCGAGCATTGGCCGGTCGTCCCTAAACAGATGATCTTCTAATTAGAACTTTGGCCAGCCCTAGGACTGGCCGGCCAAAGGCCGAAATCAAGAGCCATTTCAGACTTTGGCCGGTCTATCCTGGCCAGTCCGCGGATTGGCCGCCCAAAAGCCGAAATGAAGTAAAGTTTCGGACTTTGGTCCGTCAATGCGCGCTTTGGCCGACTTCGGGCTTTGACCGTAGCATATATATAGATTATGTTTTTTTTCCAGACGCCGACAATCAGGAGAAAGTCTGTCATAACGAGAATGCCAACAAAAGAAAAATACTTTGTGCTTATATCGGGTCTCGCACTTATAACAGGTGTAATGCTTTATAATTTTCAGAGGTAAAACCGTGTTCATTTGGCGCGCAAGGTTTTTTTAGTCATGTAGTTTTGTAGTATTTACATTTATTCGCATTGAAATCAAGGTGTTTTTAGCGCAATTTCCATACTGGCAATTGCGTTTAATAATTCGTCATTTCTGGATGGATGGATGTGTGGATGTGTGTCCGCAGCTTTAAGTCGTATCTCCTCCTTAACGAAGCAATATCGAGGACTAGTTCCAAAGCAAATATGTTAAGCAAGTTCCGAGGATGATTGTGGGCCAAAAAAATTCCCGGATTTCCTTCCTGGATTTCCCGGAAAAGCCAAAAAACCTCGAAAAAAATGCAGTTTTTGGCCCATATTTCGGCAACCAGACCACTTGGCGACTTGAAACATTTACCAATCGATTTCTGCCATAATTTAGAACAATATTGTCGAAGAAAGTTTTCAAAAATATCCTTTCGTTCGGTCACAAAAAAATATTTACTACTTTTTAAAACTGAGCATCGTATAGGCCTACTCGTTAAAATAAAACTATTTCCGTTGATATAGGTTAATATAGTTGTCCTTTTTTTTTAGCGCAAAAAAATATCCTTTCGTTCGGTCACAAAAAAATAAAAATGGTTATGGATAACATAAGGAAATTGCGCTTAAATTGTCACTAGACTTTTTATTAACTTGTTTTAATACATAGAAAACTTTTTTGCAAAAAAAAAGCATTTAAATAATAATGCACTAAAAAGTGAAAATAAATTATTTACTTTAAAATAAAATAATTAACCACTATATAAATAGTTAAGAAGACACGCACGAGTCGCTCTATTATGTATTGAATAGCCTACCTTTATTTGAACTCAAGAAGCGACCCTTGCTTTAGTTATTAAATAGTAGTAAATTATTATATATTCAAAGAAACTCTTTTTTTATACATAGTATAGAGGAAATATTGTAATCGTGCACAATAATCACATGAAATTTTGACAGTTTTCGTCGTTTTACACCTCAATATTTCGTCATATACGGAGTATAGGGGACTTATTTTAATCGGGCGAAAATTCTAAATTCCAGATTTATCAAACTTTCGACGTTTTACCAGTCGGAAAAAAACTGGATTTTGCAATTCTGTCCGTGTCTATGGCCGTGAACACGATAACTTAAGTAACTTTACAGCTAGATTGATGAAATAAGTTAATATATAAGTAATATATCAAATTTGTAGTTCTGACGTAACGTGTCAACGATTTCCGGTAGCCGGAAGTGGAACTTATTCTAGTTTTGGGAATATAGCCTTAGTACTGTTTTAGATAGATAAACGAAATTTCACATATAATTAAAAGATCTAATTATCTGCCTTCTGTCAAATTCTGAGTAAGTTTCGGTGAACGGAAGTATTACTTTACATTATTTCCGATTTTTCCAAAAACTCATAAGAAATTATGTAGTACAAATAATCCGCACTGATAAACACATATTGTTTCCCGTTCACTTGGTCCGTGATTCTTTTTTCTACGAGATTCTATTTTTAAAATGTTAAGTATTTAAAAATTGATTAAAATCATGTCAATAACCCGAGTTGTCATACCCCGTAGTGTGACATAAGAATATTTGAGAAAGTTTATGGTAGATCACCCCCCGCTTTATTTTTTCAGTACTCTAAAATTGTGCATCTAATGAACCTCTAATAATCTATAAGATAATTAAAATAATACCGTATTTAAAATTAATCATAATATAATTATAAATTCACATATTTAGCTTTTTAATATTTTTTTATTACACAGCTATCCGACTATTCGTTATGAATCGATTCCAGTAACTGTACCAAGATATAAACTGGAGTCATTGCTTCCCCATGGTACGTTTGACGTACATTTCTCTCTAGCGACGGAGCAAGAATTCTGGGACACACACCCTATTGATATCTATGAAGCTTTTGCTCAACATTCCTACAAGACGTGGGATACCTGTAGAAATACATGCGATGTCAAAGAGCCAGTGTGCAAGGCTAATTCAATTGGAGGCTTGTCAAATTTAAATGCGCGAGGGTTAATATATAGAAAACCTTTTCTCGCGAGAGGGCAGTACGTCTATGAATGGGAGAAAAAATATTTGAGTTATCCCCCTTTGACCGATGCTAAAACGCTGCCAGATTTGGAGTTGTCGAACGTGACAGTTGAAAACGCAAGACAAGGTGTGGTCAGGTGTAAGATGCTTGAAACTATACGCGGTCGTCTGGATGTCGTGGATGGGTACGGGCGTCAGAGAAGCAAGGGAGACGATGTGGTCAGGGTTTGGATGAAGGGAGATAATCCACAGTACTCTGTTGTTGGGGAAGTTACTGACTTACAGAATGGCAGCTATACTTTCTCCATTATGTGTTTGTGGAATGGAACATCCTCGGTAATTCATTTTTATTTCTTTGTGGCTGCTTTTATTTTAACAACTACTATAACATTAATAATTATAATTATAATTGTAATTATAATTATAATTATAATTATAATTATAATTATAATTATAATTATAATTATAATTATAATTATAATTATAATTATAATTATAATTATAATTATAATTATAATTATAATTATAATTATAATTATAATTATAATTATAATTATAATTATAATTATAATTATAATTATAATTATAATTATAATTATAATTATAATTATAATTATAATTATAATTATAATTATAATTATAATTATAATTATAATTATAATTATAATTATAATTATAATTATAATTATAATTATCTATATATATAATTCTCTTCTTCGAGCCGTTAGAAAACAAGCTGCAAACGCTCTCCCTACCTCCCCACCCCTACATGGTTTTAGTGAGCTGTGTTCACTCTAAATGTTTACAAGCAGAGCCAACGATTTTAAACGTAGGGGGGGGGGGGGGGGAGGAGGGGGGGAGGGAAGGAAGGGGGGGGGGGGGTTATGGTCCTTAACGAGCTACTTATAGTGTTTTAAAGAAATATTTTCAGTGTCAGCGTTGGTACTGTCGAATTCACAAATTATGAATTATTGAAAATTAGAAACAACTAAATAGCGGCGTATGTTATGCCGCGGGCCGGCTCGTTATAATTATAATTATAATAAGAAGTGGTTTGCGTGCAGAGTTTCTTTCATGCAATTTTTCGGGTGGGGCAAAGTCCCACACACGCGTAAGAACGTCTAAGCCGCCCCACCCCAACTCAAAAGAAATGACGTCATCGATACTCTATAATAAAATTACCGCCTAATTAATGTGTCTAATCTAAAAAGCGGTTTGCGTGCAGAGTTTCTTTCATGCAATTCTTCGGGTAGTGGCTAAGCGCGACACCAGTGTTTCTTTCAGACTTTTTCCTCCCCGGAGAGGGGGGGGGATTACTTGAAATTTTCGGGGGCGGGGGTAGAATTTGCGGGGAGGGGGCGGACACTGGAAAAAGTATATAATTATATTTCGTTGAGTGGGATGGTAGACATGTTTTGTGGTGTATGTGTGTGTGGGGGGGGGGGGGGGGAGAGCCCCCTAATCCCAAGTAGAGTTGCCTGAAAGAAACTCTTATTAAGCGACTTTTGTCATGATTGAGATAAGGTGCATGGTTTAGAGGTATGGCTAATAGTATATTTAGTATAAATGCGCTATAACTACGTATAGTTCATGCTTAAATTCGATCAAAATACCGATTCTGGATAAAAATCCGTTTTTAATGTCATTTTTCGTTTCTATTTAAACTTGAAGTATAGGTGGTGATTTTGGTTTTGGTTTTAGTTTAGAGAAAATAGACAGCACTATCAACCTAGCGCCCGTTGTATCCTTCCTCAACTGGCCATTTTTCTCGTTAATAATAATAATAATGTTAATAATGATAATAATAATAATAACCGTGACCACAAAATTTTCAGGAAATTAAAACCAGCTTATATAGGAATAAAATAGAGAAGAAAAAACATTGGAACGAACTAAAATGTATTGACCACAACCTTTAGAAATAAGAAGTTGACAGTGTAAAATAACTACAAAAGCATATAAATAATTGAAATTGTTTCTTATGAGATGGCACAGAAATAATTATATGGCTGCTTTGAAAATTATGGATACTCTATTTAACAGCTAGATGTTGGGGAGTTCTTGTTGATAAGTAAAGTTCCCTTTTGGAACTTGACGATTCATGGGGCAAGTGAAGTAGAGTTCACCTGTGATCACGGCATAGAAAGTGTAGTGTGGCAGCACTAAGCACAGCTGGCTTTATTTTCCTTAACGTGAGTTAGGTACCCATCTGGGTGACATGATTGTACTGATTTATTTCAAATACAGAAAACTGTTGATTTGTTTGTTTTTTTTTAGAAAAATATAATATTACAGCCTTTCTTTGTAATAACTTTAAGATAAATACGTGAATTCGTTTTATCCCAATAGTTTCTTATGCAATGATTCTAATGTTACCAGATAAAAGTAGCCATTTCCTACCCACGGGAATTTATAAGAATCGTCATACACCAGATTCACGTGGGTGTGGCCCGATACATGACAGCAACTTTCACCAATAAACAATTAACAGAGGTATTTCTAAAAAAAAATATTAATATTAATATTAATCTTCAGGAAATTAAAACGAGCTTATCTTGAAAATTATACGTCTGATGTTTCTTTTGCCTTTTATTATATTTCATATTTAGTCGTAAATCTTATGTAAAAAAAAAAAGCAAATGATGTGCTTATAAAAATATATGCAGGTTTTTCTTATGTATTTGTTATTACGTTTCATATTTAACCATGAATCTTAAATTTATAAACATAATTGCTTTAAAAAAAATAATATTTAAAAAAAATTGTATGATCGCCACTAAGTGACGTAAGTTTAAGCTGTCTGCAAGTTAAATACAGCGTTATGTCTTATCAGCACTCTGTTTGTTTCCACACCCCCAACATACCTGGCTGGGAGTGTATTTGTAACTTCAGCAAGTTTGGATATGATAATTACTACTGTGGTAGACCCAGGGATCCCAGGTATGAATATAAATAAATGAATAAATAAATAAATAAATAAATAAATTATATATATATATATATATATATATATATATATATATATATATAGGTCTACATATACTAACCCTTATCGGCTAGGCTTTGCTCCAGTTATTTATAGCCCTGTCTAAAATAAAATAATAACTGAAACATGAATGTGTGTTTAATTTTTTAAATAAATAGCAATGCATACAACTACAATTAAAGCAGTAAATCGTTCACATTTAATTTATTGTAAAATTTTCTATACGAATGAACTGTCCTTTCCGGATAGCACGTTTTTAACCAAATACTATGACCATCTGAGTCCAATCATTAAATAGAACAATTAAAGCCATTGTTAATTAAGGTTGACTTTCAATAATTGGGTATATGGAACAATTAAAATAATTTTTAATTAAGGTTGACCTGTGATGATTGGGTGTATGGAAACTCTCTGAATGTGGCGCCTCCTCATGATGTGACAGATGCTGAACGCGACTTGATTCGTTCCATTATGGGGTAAATACCTTAATACAATCACCTTTAGAACTAATTCGTGCATGTTTGTGTTTCTAAATAGTCTTCTTAAAACATTTTCAATTACGACACAGTTATTATTATTATTAGTGTTTGTTTTGGATTTCTCTGTTGCAGGAATTGATGTTTTTTTTTATAATATTTTTTTTTCTCAGTACACCAGCACAGCGAGTAGTGAAACGTGAAATAAAAGTTCTAAATGCAAACACAGGTAGAGTATTAAAAACAGCAGTTCAAGTACTATATCTGTCCTTGCATTGCGTGTGTGCTGCTATATTGTACCAGTGCATATCATTATATCTTTTTTTTACTTTCTCGTATACGAAGTATACAGGAAGTATTGTAATCGAGCGACAAAAAATCGAGATTTTCACAAATCTCGACGTTTTACACCTCCCTAAGTCGGAAAAACATAGTTTTGCAATCTTGTCCGTACGTCACTGTGTGTGTGTGTTCGTGTGTGTGTGTGTGTGCGTGCGTGTGTGTGTCTGTTTGTCTGTGTTTCTGTGTGTCTGTGTGTCTGTGAACACGATAACTTGAATACCATTACAGCTAGGCTGATAAAATTTCATATACAAGTATTATGTAAAATTTGTACTTCTGTGTCAATTTTTGTGAGATTTCCGGTAACCGGATGTGGAATTTATTCTATTTTCAATTTTTCAAAAGCCTGTTTCAGATAGATTAGTGAAATTTCACTCGTAAGTAAAATATCTAATCTTTGATTTTTATCTAATTTTCCGTTCACCGGAAGTACTAATTAACGCTATTTCCAACTTATTTTAAAAACGCATTTGAATTTATAAAGTACTAATAATATTCCGTACTATTATACACATATTGTTTGGTGTTTACTTGGTGCACAATTCTTTTTTCCACGAGATTCTATTACATTTTTAAAATGGATTAAAAATCATGTCTATATCCCGAGTTGCCATCCCCCGTAGTGTTATATAAGAATATTCGAGAAAGTTTAGGGGAGATCACTACCAGTTTATTTGTGTCATTTTTCGAATCCCTTGTTTTGTCTAGCTTTGCCTCTGTTTTTAAGGAAGTTCAGGTTTTTAATAATAAGATCTATACGCGATTTTTAAATTTAAAAAAGTTATCTAAACAAATTAAATAGTTTTAAAGCTTCAACTAAAATTACTTAAATTTATACTTTTGAATCATGATATTTCGATAAATTCAAAGGCGTGGCTCAGCTGATATAAATTCAAGCGTTCGTTTGTTGAAATATAATTTTGTTTTCTTTACAGATAACCTGCCTACACTCAAGCCTTGTCGTGAGTCTAATAAAAACGTCACCTGGGTGAGAAAAACACCTAAAGGCTACTGGAGTTCCGGACATGTCTGGAATTCTCTTGTTTGTAAAAAGGAAGAAGCCATCACAACACACTGGACCAGGAACTGTCTCCGGAACACGTCGGTCTGGATCTTTGGAGACTCAAACGGAAGACTTGCATATTTCAGTTTCCTTGACATGACAAAATGTGTTATAAAAGAAGGAGGGTACCCAGATAGGGCAAGTTGTGTGATTCCAGAGTACGGTATTGACATAACGTTACTCGCGCATGAACCACCAAAATATGTTTTAACAAGAAGAAGCGACAACTTCACAGGAGTGCCAGACTTTATCCAAACTCTGCCCAGAGACAGAAAACACGTCCTACTCATCCATTACTATCTCCACTACACCGCCGCCCATCTCAGTGTCCTGTCCTTACGCATGAGGAAACTCAGGGAAGGCATCGAGAGAATGCTGCAGAAGAATCCAAATGTTTTAGTCGGTCTAAAAATCCCTCACGTGACTTCTAAGTACTACCTCAACAACCACGCCGTGGGAGGGGACCCCCTCGTCCCCCAGTACATCGAGATGATCAGGCAAAGGTTCAGAGGTCTAGAGGATAAAGTCGTGTTTTTGGACTTGTGGGAGATGTCCATTGGAATAGAAAATGTCGATTATCATCCACCACAATACATCAACCGTGAAATGATCAAGTTTTTTTTATCGTTCCAATGTTAGTTTTTTTTAAAACCATATATATATATATATATATATATATATATATATATAGTTAAGAAACTTAATACAAAATCTTGATGTTACAACGTTTACTTTTAAGGCAACATTTCCATTTAAATCTACAAATCACGTGGTATGATGTTTTTCACATTTTCTTTACGTTGCTCACCCTTTAAAAAGTACCTGATTTGGATTACTCTCTTCTTACACAACCGTTCACTGCTATCTCGTTTAGTAACTGCCAATGCCATATTACAATGGCTGCTTAACAACACTTTAAAAATCGCTAACCTACTGGCTTTTAAAAATAAAGAACTTATCCCTAAGTAAAACAATAAATCTTCGCTAAAAGTATATATTTTAATAGAGAGGATTAGTAATATAAATACGATGGGCAGTTATTCTTCTGTTGGCTTGTGCATTTTTATATTTTAATAACGCAGTTTGGGATCAATATTTATGGCCATGCATCAGACGTTTGGCTTCGGGAATGTTTTAAAATTTGCATTTATAGTTCGCTTCATGTTATTATAACATTTTTACTTATAAGTTTTGTTTTGAAAAGTAAAACATACGACGTAAGCCCGAAGTGAAAATGTAAGGCCTTCTTCTCGATATAATGTGATAATTCTCACTTTATCTTTGTGGCTGTACAACCCATGGAAGGTTTTGATCTGCTTCACGCACTGTTGTCTGTTGTCTTCTTTTTTCCACATCTGGACACTTTAGTTGGCTATCTATTGAAGCCTAGGCCCGCCTTTTGGATCTTTGTCTTTGGGTTTTGGCTATACAAATAATTCAATTACATTGTTAATAAATAATAAATTTATCTTGCTTGCTTTTTTTCGTGTGTTTTTGACGTTTTTTTTAAATTGATTAATTAATATGAGGTGTTATTATTTGCCATTATTTTTCGTTTTACTCTTTGGGGACTTTAACGAGGCGTACATTTCTTGTGGAAAATATTTTAGAAAAAGCAACGAGTATTTAACAACATAACTTGCATCTTTAAATCCAAAATGTAATATAAAAATGTAAGTCCTGACTAGGGAAACTACAGGGTCAGTGCAAGTCTAGCAGGGCCCAGACTTTTAAAATTCTAACCTTAGTCTAAGTAAATAAATTAAAACAACAGAAAGGGCTTAATTTATACATTTATTATCTTTAATAAAATATAGAACCAAAATCAAATAATCATGCAAACCCTACAAAAAATATTTAAAAAAATAAAAGCAACAAATCATACTAAACACCCAATCGGACAACAAACGAACCTGAAAAGAGAACATATCCTTAAAGACTATGTAAAAACCAAAATCGTCTTATGCAAGGCATAAAGATGACACACAATTGAAAATAAAATGGATGTTGTACAAGTTGAACCTTCAAATAAAGGGTGACAACACCACGTCTTAATTAACAATCAATCAACAAGTAGTTCACGCAGAAAAAAACTTGTAAAAACATGTAAATATCTGGTCACTGAACTTTAAAAAAATAGCTAAAGGATCACAACAATTACCACCCTCGACATGAGGATCTCATAAAATAAAGCAGAATCAATTCACAATGGTACCTGACCATCATACCACCAGGTGGCTTGAAACTACAACCATTGCATATCCAAGTCGCTGTAACAAGCAAATAAGAACAATCTAATATATAAAGCTCAATTCTGTATGTAACACATATGTTTGTCGTGGATCTTCGATGGATTTAAGTGTTAGATAATTAAAGTCCTTATGGTCTAAAATTATGAGTTAAAAAATTAATATTGAAAGTTTTGGGAAATAATTTTCATTTATCAAACTGAAAGTAATAATTTTCGGCATGTTCATTAAACACAAGTTTTAAAAAAATATCATCTTTTACAAAAATTCTATTTATGTCTTTATTTAGTCCTATAGCACTTACTTCCCTTTGATAAATTAGGAAAACACAATTACTCCCTTTATAAAACCATTGCATTAGTGGAAAAGAATTTACTTTTTATTACTTTGTTTTGGTGTTGGGAAAATAATAATTACATAATTAGCGGGGATTGATCAAATGCAAATGTTGTAGGTATTTTACGGATAAGCTTGGAGTATTATAATTGTTCATTAAATTGAAACAGGCGCGTTCGTTTAAGTGAGTGCAAAAGACTATGAATAAGTTGGGGTACTATAGTCTTTTATTAAGCTAAAACAGGCGTTTATGTTCACGTTAGTGTTTTCTTTATGTTTAGGTTGGGTTTGCGTCAGTGGTTGCGGTTTGATTTGGTTCGTTTTTGTTCTTTCTTTTTTCGTTTTTGTTTGTGTTTTTTCTTTGGGTTTGTATTTGTGTTTGGTTGGTTTTGCGTTTGGATTTGGTTTGTTTTCGTTTGCTTTTTCGTTTTTTTTTGTGTTGTTATTGGTTGGTATTGTTGTTTGTGTTTGGGTTTGTTGTTAGGTTTTTGTTTTCGTTTGCTTTTTTTTTGTTTTTTTTCTTTGTGTTTGTATTTGTGTTTGTGGTTGTGGTTGGGTTTGTTGTTAGGTTTTTGTTTTCGTTTGTATTTGTAATTGTGTTAGCGTTATGTTTGCGTTTTGTTGTTTTGGTTTTGGTTGGTTGTGGTTTGGGTGGGCAATGCCGGGTTTATGATGATTACTAAACACACATGTAATGGTCTTTAACAGAAAGGTTTTTCAAAGAAGCCAGAGCAGGGCCTGGCCGGGACGGCTAGTAAAAAATAAAGCAGGAGTGATCTCCCCTAAACTTTCTGGTATATAGTTATACCAGGCTTACTGCCTAGCTTCGCTTAGTTTTTCAAAAACATTTGAGAATTTGAATACTTAATTATTTAGTTGACGGCTGAGGTGTGGAGTGCTTAAATTTAAACAGTAATGCTAATTTGAGAGAAAATTTTGTTGTTGTTCTTTGTTGTTTAAAGTCCATTTTCAGAGAAAATATTGGAAAGTTCGAAATGTATGACTAAAATGGAATTAGAACTACAGAGGTTCCATGAACAGTATATCTCATAATTTATATTGCATTGACTTTTAAAATTAATTAACTTATTTAATTAGGATACGTACCTTAATTAACAACTTAATTTTTTAACTGAAACAAATGCTATACTTCGTCATTTTCTTCTTATGTTTAAAATAGTATACAATTGTTTGAAAAATAATTATTTTAAAAAAGCTACCCCTTTGAAAATTGAACGACTGGAGTATGTCTTTGTTTACTTTTTTTACAAACAATTAATTATAAGAAAATACATCATCTGGACAAATCTAACGACCCTGAGGGTTTTTTTCGACGGGAATAATGTTTTTTTGTTATCCTCCAGGGTCGGTCAACGACCTCACAAAATATTAGGGAGATCGTTCGTCAATTTATTTATAGGTATCTGATATAATGAGAATTTCACTCGCGGTCACGTTTTAGCCCTCGTCGAGTGCTTTGAGTCTGACCAACAGTTTTTCCATACGGCCTAGTCATCTATAGAGGTGCATGCAAAAAAATGGCCAGATAAATAGAGGTTGAGTATCCTAAAATTTATGTTGAAATTACCCTGTTTTTCCCATAAAATACAAAGATTATAAAGGGAAATACGACTGGTCAATTTTGACCCATTTCCAGATTTTTCCCGGACATGCCGAGTCTTTTGTAACATACTTAGGTGTTCTCCTACCACCTCACAAAATATCAAAGGGGGTCGTTTGGTAAGAAATTTTTTCGTTATATAGCTCAAATAAGGAGATTTTCACTAGCCGTCATGTTTTAGCCCTCGTCGAGGGCTATGAGTCACTGACAGTTTTCCCTAAAGGTCAAGCCATTTACCTAGGAGCATGCAAAAAATTAGCCAGATATACTGAGTTTAAGTACCCTAAAATCCGCGTTGAAATGACCCTCTGTTTTTCCCATAAAATACAAAGATTATATAGGGGATACAACTGGTCTGTTTTTACCCCTTTCCGAAGTTTTCCCAGATATGCCGAGTTTTTTGTGACACCCCTAGGTGTTCTCCTACCACCTCACAAAATATCAAGGGGGTCGTTCGGCAAGAATTTTTTTCGTTATATAGCTCAAATTAAGAGATTTTCACTCGCGGTCATGTTTTAGCCCTCGTCGAGAGCTTAGAGTCAAACCGACAATTTTTCCTAAAGGTCAAGCTATTTACCTAGGAGCATGCAAAAAACGAGCCAGATATACTGAGTTTAAGTACCCTAAAATCCGCGTTAAAATGACCCTCTGTTTTTCCCATAAAATACAAAGATTATATAGGGAAATACAACTGGTCAGTTTTGACACCTTTCCAGATTTTTCATATAAAGAGAATTTCACTCGCGGTATCTTTTAGCCCTCGTCGAGGGTTTTGAGTCAAACCGACAGGTCTACCCTACGGCCAAGCCATTTACCTATAAGCATGCCAAAAATTAGCCAGATGTAAAGAGGGTTAGTGCCCTAAAATCCGTTTTCAAATTACCCTCTGTTTTTCCCATAAAATACAAAGATTATATAGGGAAATACAACTGGTCAGTTTTGACCCCTTTTCCCCTTTACTTTGCTTTATATATATATATATATATATATATATATATATATATATATATATATATATATATATATATATATATATATATATATATATATATATATATATATACATACATACATACATACATACAT